ATAAATCCACACATAATTTCTAATTAATTCCCAGCTAATTAGCATCTAATTAGCATAAAAGAACCCATAATTTGGTATGAATCCCACCCTCCCACTCCTGTCATGACCCCCTCACCTGACCCCATTCACTCCCATACAGGTGAGCCCAAACCACACCTGTACTATAATAAATCCGCACGTAATTTCTAATTAATTAACACTTAATTATCATCTCATTAGCATACCGGTAGCAGTAATTAGGCGCTGACCAGACGGTGAGCACGGTCTCCCCAAAGTGCCATTTGTACCCCCACACCCAACCACACCTGTGCTCACCTGTGCCCAGGTAACCCCAATAAATCCCTACATAATTCCCAATCAATTCCCGGTTAATTAGCATCTCATTAGCATCTCATTAGCATAACAGAATCCATAATTTGGTATGAATCCCACCCTTCCACCACTGTCCTGATCCCCTCACCTGACCCCATTCACTCCCATACAGGTGAGCCCAAACCACACCTGTACTATAATTAACCCACACATAATTCCCAATTAAATCCCAGTTAATTACCATCTAATTAGCATCTCATTAGCATCTCATTAGCATAACAAAATCCATAATTTGGTACGAATCCCACCCTCCCATTGCTGTCCGGACCCCCTCACCTGACCCCATTCACTCCCATACAGGTGAGTCCTGTACTACAATTAACCCACACATAATTCCCAATTAATTCCCAGTTAATTAGCATCTCATTAGCATACCGGTAGCAGTAATTAGGCGCTGACCAGACGCTGAGCACGGTCTCCCCGAAGTGCCATTTGTACCCCCACACCCAGGTGAACCCAAACCTCACCTGTGCCCAGGTAACTCCAATTAATCCCCACATAATTCCCAATTAATTCCCAGTTCATTAGCATCTAATTAGCATCTCATTAACATATTTTAATCAGAAATTGAGCAAATTGAGCACTCTCCCACTCCTGTCCTGACCCCCTCACCTGACCCCATTCACTCCCATACAGGTGAGTCCAAACCACACCTGTACTGTAATTAACCCACGCATAATTCCCAATTAATTCCCAGTTAATTACCATCTAATTAGCATATCATTAACATATTTTAATCAGAAATTGAGCAAATTGAGCACTCTCACACCTGTCCTGACCCCCTCACCTGACCCCATTCACTCCCATACAGGTGAGTACAAACCACACCTGTACTATAATTAACCCACACATAATTCCCTATTAAATCCCAGTTAATTACCATCTCATTAGCATATTCAAAGCAGTAATTGGGCACCAATTCCATGCTCCCACACCTGTCCTGACCCCCTCACCTGAGCCCATTCACTCCCATACAGGTGAATACAAACCACACCTGCACTGTAATTAACCCACACATAATCCCCAATTAATTCCCAGTTAATTAGCATCTCATTAGCATATTTTAATCAGAAATTCAGCAAATTGAGCACTCTCACACTCCTGTCCTGACCCCCTCACCTGACCCCATTCACTCCCATACAGGTGAATCCAAACCTCACCTGTACTATAATTAACCCACACATAATTCCCAATTAATTCCCAGTTAATTATCATCTGATTAGCATACCGGTAGCAGTAATTAGGCGCTGACCAGACGGTGAGCACGGTCTCCCCGAAGTGCCATTTGTACCCCCACACCCAACCACACCTGTGCTCACCTGTGCCCAGGTAACCCCAATAAATCCCTACATAATCACCACCAAATCACCCCCTAATTAGCATCTCATTAACATATTTTTAATCAGAAATTGAGCAAATTGAGCAGTCTCACACTCCTGTCCTGACCCCCTCACCTGACCCCATTCACTCCCATACAGGTGAGCCCAAACCTCACCAGTACAGTAATTAACCCACACATAATTCCCAATTAATTAACCGTTAATTAGCATCTCATTAGCATCTCATTTACATATTTTAATCAGAAATTGAGCAGTCTCACACCCCTGTCCTGATCCCCTCACCTGACCCCATTCACTCCCATACAGGTGAATCCAAACCTCACATGTACTATAATTAACCCGCACATAATCAGCATATCATCAGCATCTCATTAGCATCTCATTAGCATATTTAAAGCAGGAATTGGGTACCAATCCCACCCTCTCACACCTGTCCAGAGCCCCTCACCTGACCCCATTCACTCCCATACAGGTGAGCCCAAACCTCACCTGTACTATAATTAACCCACACATAATTCCCAATTAATAAACTGTTGATTACCATCTAATTAGCATCTCATTAGCATAACAGAATGCATAATTTGGTATGAATCCCACCCTTCCACCCCTGTCCTGACCCCCTCACCTGACCCCATTCACTCCCATACAGGTGAGCCCTGTACTACAATTAACCATCACATAATTCCCAATTAATTCCCAGTTAATTAGCATCTCATTAGCATACCGGTAGCAGTAATTAGGCGCTGACCAGACGGTGAGCACGGTCTCCCCGAAGTGCCATTTGTAGCCCTCCATGACGAGCTGGTGGGCGCGGCAGATCATGGACACCTCGTTGGCCGCGTTGAACTGCGCCACCACGTCCGAGCCGAACAGGTACCCGGCCCCCC